TCCCACGTAAAAACGTGCCGTTTCGGCGGAGCAGGCGCTCGCTTCCAAGCTCAGGCTCCGCGCTTTGGCTCGATGGGCTGCAATCAACTCTGACAATTCTCCGTTGGGAAGCAGATCCAGCACCAGGTATAGGTTTTCCGCATCTTGGAAGCTGAACCAGAGCTTGACGATGCCGGGGTGGAGGAGGCGAGCCAGCACGTTCCGCTCGGTCAGAGCGGCCCGTACTTTGTTTTCACGCCGGAGATGCCGCTTTTCCATGACCTTGATAGCAAAGTCCCTGCCATTGAATGCGCGCGGGCGTTCACTCTGCTCCTCTTGATCTCCTTGCTCTCTGCCAGTTTTATTTCTGGCGATGGAAGTAGAGCATTCATGCTTGAGACGGGCGTGCACCACCCTTGCATACGACCCTTCGCCTAGGGTGCGACCCCACCAAAAATCCGCCTGACTGAAGCGCTTCGGCGGTTCCCGAGAAATCGACAAAGGCATCGTAGGGGGAGCTGCGTGTGGAGCTGGTGGGGACGTGGGCGTATCGGGAGGGGGAGTGCAAGCAGAGGAAGGGAAGGGGGTCGGGGCCTCCGCACTCGGGGCGTGGGCCGGCGAGGCCATACGATGCTCTGACCTGGATAATGAGAGCATTCTAGATGAGTGTGAGTGTACTTGCTAGCAGTACGGAAGATGGGCGCCGGGTTGTTTCTTTCCTAGCTACATACGGCTCATGCGTGAGAAAGCCGCCACGATTCAGCCCGTATGTGACGAAGGCGACTGACGCCATCATCATCCTGGCTGTGGAAGGGGCAACGAGCATTCACTGTGCAATCAAACACTCCACGACAGAGAGGATGGCAGCTCTGGCGAGGGCAAGTCGTCCATCAATGGGGTTTCTGTCCCTTTGCTGTGCAATGGTGTGCTCTGCCCTTCCTGTTCTGGGCTTCACCCTACCTCCAAGACCCCTCACAACCCTGCGTGCATCGGCTTTCCCACCGTCGGCATCGACCGAAAGATCAGCAACACCAACACACTCTCATTACTCAAGATGGCAAAAAAGTAGAGAGATGTCATCCTTCTTGCATTCACGAAGCGGAGAGTCCCGTTTGGGACGGGACCGGTCCCCGGTCGTAACCCCCCGTTGGGCGTCGGCACAGGTCACTTTCACATCGTCCTCGGCCCCTCTGGAAAGCTCTGTTGAGGAGCCCCCTCCTCTTCGGCAGGTGGCTCTCGTCACCAAATTTGCCCGTCTCCCCTTCTGGCCGATTTGGCACGGGCTTGTCATCATGTTCCTCGATCAAATCGGGCTAAAAACGCTCAGCCAGACCGTGGAAGCTGCCATAGGGGGACGGGTGGCACCGATGATATACCTTCCGAGCTCCCGCTCCACCGAGGCCAACGATGGCCTGAGTGAGGAGCGAGGCCGTCCTCGGGACCCCGACCAAGGCCCGGCCGAGGGAGGCGCGGGGAGGGCGGAGGCCGACCTCCTGTCTCTCTCGGATCCCTTTCTCATGAACGTGCACCATCGCCACACCTTCTTTCAGCTCGATCCACTGCGCTGGCTGCAGAGTCTGGTCTTCCCCGAGGGCTTTCCTGCCCATCCACATGCCGGTTTCAGCACCCTCACGTATGCGCTCAAGGGACGGATGCGGCACCGGGACTCCCTCGGGGTGAAGCAGGTGAGGGAAAGGGGGAGCGAGACGAGGGATTGAGGTCGAAGTACTCTCACCGATGGCGAGATCCCCCTGTTCGGGATCCGGTTGTGGT